AAAAATCTGGTGTCCATGGCCAAAAGGCAAGCTACAAGCCACTGTAGCACGTGCAGTCGTTCGCTTTCTGGAAGAATCAGAAAAAGCTCAAAAGTACTAAACAAAAAACAAATGTTAACTGCGGTATGTTTCAAAACAGTATTTTCCTGCTTCACTACAATATGTTTGGATAAACCTTTCTGAAAACATGTCAGTATTTAAGCGACAAGATCACCTTACACGTTTTATTGAACTTTCACGTTTTTGTGTGAACACTTAAATTGGCGTGATTACTTGTGTAGATTTCTATTGTTTTGTTTTTTTACAAACTCAGTGTGGTGCGGACACAGTTCTACGCAGTGTGCACTCATTTCTGTGTGGTGTGGACACTCAGTGTGGAAAAACGTGAACTCATTGTGTAAGTGTTGTGCTATGTACATATGTATAGCCTTGTGTTTGCTACTGAATGTGCGATGTTGACTTTTGTGCAAGAGAAGAGGAGTAGCCGGCGCCACGCATTCGCACCAACCTCTCCTTACATACATTTAATAAAAAAAAAACGCATTGCGACAATTGGATGACCAGCCACTCTCTGTGTAGAGGCTACTGGAACACCGTCATCGCCTTTCGTCGGCTCAAAAGGCAGTCAAAGCTGTCTTGTGCTTTTTGAGGACTACAGGCCTACGTGACCACCTTTAGTTTTTGTGTAGTGCCACCGCTTCATACGCACCAGCCGATTGACTGACAATCCTCTTTTTTTCTCTCTCTCTTTCTCTTCTCTTTCCTCTCTCTCTCTCTCTCTCTCTCTCATCTTTATGTCCCCCTTCCTGTTCCACTAGTGTAAAGTAGCAAACCAGGCATGTGCCTGGTTAACCTCCCTGCCTTCCCTCTTGTTGTTTATCCTTCCCCCCCTCTCGGCTGGATTTCGCCATCGGCGTGGGCGTCAATGTCATGCATCGTATATGTACATGTATCTATATATATGAAAACGCAAGAAAGAAAAAAAAACTAGAGAGAAGACTCCGCCGCGCAGAATCACATGTGGGACCCCTGCATCGTGAATGTGAGGTGTTAATCACTCAGCCACCGAGGAGTACCTCCTTGGAGATTTAAACGGCAAGCTACTTATATCTACAACTTACCGCTGTTGGTGGGCATCTCGAGGGGGAACTATCGTGTTTCCAGCGTTATCAGCAGGATGGTGCAGTGAGCGCGCGGCGGCTCTCATCTCTCACACGTACTTTGGCCCACGTAAAGAATAAGGGGGTGTACGCTTGATCACGCTCCCTTATCTTGCAGTGGGGAAAATCGTAATCCTTGGCTAGCCTTTGGGTTTCGCCGGAACAATTATGTTGTAGTTACCGTGCGCCTGAAGTCACTGCAATAGTTGCACAGCCTCTGCTTGCGAAAAGGGTGCGCTTTTCAGACACAGCGAAGTAACGACTGAGACAATTATTTGCGTTGATCTGTACCTGTGAGTACGTTTCGTGCGTCATTTCTGCGTGAGAAACGCGGGGCACGTTTTAATCTCCTTGCCCTTCTGCGCGTGACCTTCCAATTTGTTGCTATCGCGCACATTGCTTTGCTTTTTGTGGCAAAGCTGTGACTTTTTTTTATTGAAAGTTTTTACTGAGGTCATTGGGATCGTGAACTAGCATGTAGCGCATATATCCGCCAAAATTGTTAGTGTATTATTTTTGGTAGTTTAAAGGTTGTCAAGTTTTTTCAATTTAAATAATAAACTTGTGTCATAATTTCAAGTTATAAGTTATAATAGATAAATTTGTAAAACCGTCTTAGCAAATTTTTCACAGTGGGTGCCAGCCAAAATGACTAGATGAACACGAGCGAAAACGAAGGTGCCTCGTGAGCAGCGGAGCTCGTGCAATTTTCGCAACCGTCAGAGAAGAAGGTGACGCTCCTCTGACCACATCGCTTTCTTGATCCTCCCCGGAAAGGTCTTCATCGCTCTTGCTGTTTCAGGTGAGAGCTTCACCCCAAACAAGGACGCATTAAGCGAACCACAGGATACGACATAGGTAGTTCAGCAGCAACGGGAGGTCACCTGTGATTAACCTCGTTGTCTTTCTTTTGCCGATTTGCTTTCTCTTATAGCGTGATTGTCTTAAACGTTATTCTATGAGGAATGTCAACGCCAGGACAGGCCATCGGGTTGATTTCATGTGGACCAGAATGCTCGCGCTCTTGTAGCTAATGGCGGCAGCCCTCGCTACTGCTCACCGTGGTGGAGCAGTATATAGTTATGGCGCTCCACCGCTGACCCGATGTTCACGGGGTTCGATTCATGGCGTAGCAGTCATATTTCGATTAAGGTGAAGTGTTAGAGGCCCGTGTATTGTGCGATGTCACTGCACTTTCAAGGACACCAAATGAACGGAATTTCCCGAGCCCTGCAGTGTAGGAGTCTCTAATAATCATATAATGGTTTTGAGACGTAAAACCCCACATATATTTTCAATAAAATGTTTGCACGAATTGAGTTATCTTACACAAATTTGCGCAGGAATTCTATTCAGCAAGTAAAACAGGTGTGGAAATGTTGCGGGGCGCCTTTGCAGGCGTTTTTTCTCTAAAGTGATTCGCTCTACCATAGCGCCGGCCTGTTTGTGGGAAAGATTAAACCCAAGCCTACTACCTTCTAGCGCTTTTTTTATCCTCATCATGTACAGCATGAATAACAGCGGGAACAAATGACGTCCCCGTCTGAGCCCCTTGCAAATTTCAACGCTGCAATTGCTACTTATTTCTTCCCATATTCCATGCACACAATTTTTTGGTATACTTCTCTCAAAAGCTGTATACATGTCCCACAAAATTCTCTGATGAACGTTGTCATACGCCCCAGTGATGTCCATATTAGCTACGTAAGGGCCTGTTTTCTCTTTCAGATATTTCTATACGCTGAGTAAGAACAAACAGGTTATCGCCTAACCCCTCGTAGATTCGGAATCCATTCTAGAGTTCTCCCAAATTACCGATTTGCTCTCTTTAAATTTTACTGCCAGCATTGCCAACGTATATAGCACCGATGTAATGGTTAATGGTCTATATATATGAGCAAATGTCAATTTTTTCTCCCTTGGCTTTGTGGTTTAACTTAATTATATTTTCGCGCCAAGTGTCTGGTATACCGCGTTTCTCCGGTATCACTGTCAAGAATCCTTACTATTTTCGTGTCGTGAGTCTGAGTAAATACGGGTGAGGAATATTTTGGTGAGTTTGAGTTCGTGTTACTCTGGTTGGAGAAAATTTTAGTGAGCGTGAGTCCAACTCGGGAAAATTTTGGTGAGTTTGAGTTGCCTCTCACGTGGTAATATTCTTAAGAAATGCTAACGACTGTCCTAAATATGCACAAGTGCTTCAGTCTACCGTGTGTTTGGAGAAACGAAGGTTTTTAGAACGCAGAGGCACTGGTAGGCGGCCGCACTGGACCATTTTAACGAAGAGTAGGGAACACCCGCCTTTTCGTTCATAGCACCGCATCGTCAGCGCTGCGTAATAAACAGTGCTGTCTTTAGAAATACGTATCGGTGCATTTTCTAAATAAACACACTACCCAACACCTATATATCAATGTTGCGCTTCACATATGCGCCATGTTTGCTTTTTGATTCACAACGTTCACAAGTATGAACGCAACCACCACATCAAGATGGGTGGGCGTTGCGCAAGGAGTAAAATTTTCGCCGGCTTGCTGAAAGGCTAGACGTAAGGACAAACAGACAGACGGAGAGTCTAATATTTATGTGTTGAAGTATTCGAAGAGATTATCCTTTTTCTTATAGTGCAGATTTATGAAAGGTAGTGCAAGTGAGCAACGGACACAGTTAGTGAAAACAAGACCTAGTAAAACGACTTATGCGAGACCTAAATCTTACCATCAGTGTGGCCTCCCACTTTCCTCTTCTCATGAGCTAAACTGAATTCGACGCTGTTACCGACACTGACATAATAGAAAAAGATGGTCTGTTCGACTCTTCTACTAGGCTCAGTGTTAGCTTGGCAAAATGAGTGTTTTTCCTGAATAACTGAAAAGTGCAAACTTCAGTTTTCATTTGCTAGAATATTTACTTATAATTTCAGAGGCATGCGTCTTAAGCACCATGCTTTTATTTTGTGTACACATGTCGCAGTTTTTTGACCTCATTCATTTCTTGCCGGTATCTGAATCGTCTTGTTAGCTTTCTGTTTTCTAGTCACGCACACTCGCGAGCAAATGTATACGGACCACGCATAAGCGTGCTGATATCGTGGCCTGCGACGCACAATGATGAGCCGTGTGCTGTTGAAAGAATTTCTCTGAGAGAATTGCTGTCCACACCATTACTTTCAAAGCATACGTCGAAGAAATTCTCTCGATCGGAACTACACAGACAGCAAGAGTACATGAACCGCAATGGTTCATATACTTTTGCTCATGGGCGTACTATGGCACATCGCTATCCGAACTCGCTATCTGGACATAAGTTAACCTGATCTAACCTAATTCGACCTAGCCCAACCCAATCTAACCTATCCTAACGTATCCTAACTGAACCTAATCCATTAGCCTCCACGGTATGGCTTGACAACTTCAGGAATTCGAACATGTCGTCCAAAGTGTCACATGGATATCTATATATACTGTTGGAAGCACCAGATTATGCCTTACGCGCCTGTTCGAGCACAATCACTTGTGTGAGAGGCTATGTTTCTAAAAAAAAACGTCACGTTAGCAAATAAAAAAATCACAGCATATCCACGGAGTAAATGATGATGAGTAGGACGAGGCGTCAATCTGTCCATCCGTTCGTGTGTCCGTCCATGCGTGCATGCGTGCATGCATTCAATCACGCCCGAGAATACAGACGGCGCGCGGGTAACACCGACGAGACGCGTGCCAAGGAAGCCGAGCGCAAGCGTCACCCCCCGCTCTGCTTCGTCCATGCCCCACCAACGATGCGCCACGTACGGCGACTATCCTGGAGACTGAGTGAGGCACTCGTTCTCCATGTACCCAGGGACAACCCGCGCAGCAGCCAATCGGAGAGTAAGTGGTACAGCGCCATCCAGAACACCCTCACTCAACTGCAGTTTGTATGTACTTCTATAATCTATATTTATACTGTTTGGGAAATACTGCCTCCTTTTCTTTCTCGCCTCTTCTTTTTTCGGTTACGCGTGACGCATGACGTGGTTAGACTAAGAGGAGCTTCGCCCGTAATAACCTTGTTCGATTTGTCCACGTAGATGGAGCGTCGTGTCAAATGGAACCACAAGGCGGACTTTTTCCTTTCGAGCATTGGACTGTCCGCCGGGATCGGCAACTTGTGGCGGTTTCCGTTCCTCGTCTATGACAATGGTGGAGGTGAGACGCCCGAATTTACTTTTAATGCTCCGCCAGTTCACTTAGCTTCGAAGATATACCACATGTCTGCGGTGGCACAGCTAAGTTTGCCTATTACGCGGTAATTTTGGACAGACGCTAGCGACTGTCCTAATTATGCAAAGTTCCCAAGTGAACCGTGTGTTTTTCATGAAAGGCACCCGAAATCATCGAAAATCAAGTAAGGGCGATATTTGTGCGATGCCTTCGCAGTTACTTCTGTGACCTTAATCTGAACGCGGAAGAGCCCAACTTTCATAATCATCTGAGTCGTTCAAAATAAATGAGTGACGTTGCAGGCACCATCAACCTCTTTTCGTCTGGGGTGCGGGTTCCTGCAGCAATTATAGCTCGCACAACATATGCACGGAAAAGAACGCAGAAAAGTAATATATACACCCACAATCAATGTTTTGAACACTGACGTCATTCTGGCGTCTGCATGTTGCGCTCCTGGTGCTTAGGTGTCGGTTTCACAATTCAACTTCGTTGAGTTCACTGGCACAATAATAACTACAAGCTACTTTTTCTATGCGTCAAAGCTGTGACGAGCTTTTAGCATAGAGGATTCGATTCAAGGAAAATAAATAACCACCTAATTACGTTAATTAAAGCAGCAATGTGATATTTCCCCGAGGACTTCGCAATTACTTCATGTGTAGGCGCGGGTACTTCAAGATGCCTAAAACATATAGGACAGTAATTAAGGAAGTTCAATTAACGTTTGACCTCTGCTAATCAAAACATTACTTGAACTTCTTTAATTACTGTCCTATGCGTTTTCAGCCTTCTTGAAGCACCCGCGGCTACAGATGAAGTAAGTGCAAAGGCCTCAAAAAATATACAATTTTTATGGTTCTTGAGGATTTCGGAGACATTTCGTGGAACAGCTGTTATATTTGGAACCCGTCCATAACGGGCACTAAATACCCCAAGAAGTCTACCGCAGTGGATCAGTGGCTCGGCTGCTTGCCCGAAGGTCACGGGCTTGATCCCGCTCGTGGTGGTCACATTTCCATCGAGGCGAAATGATAGAGGCCTATGAACCGTGCGGTGTGAGTGCGCGTTAAGGAACACCAAAAGGTCACAATTTGTGGAGCCCTCCCCTACGGCGTTTTTTGTAGTCATGTCGTGCTATTAGGTCGTAAAGCATTGCAGAATTATACCTTGGAAACTTAGGTCGTCTGAAAGGCACCGCTACTGTTTCGGCCAGCGCAGATGAAGCCAGCCCGCTATATTTTACTGAGAGCAGGCTCAAGGTACCCGAAAAATCTGCAAAATAAATTCACTCGTCGGCGCAGGTGCATTCCTGTTCGTGTACTTCCTGGTGATTGCGTTGGTGGCGAAGCCACTGTACTACCTCGAGATGTTCGTGGGGCAGTTCAGCAGCTCCGGATCCATGTCCGTCTGGGCTGCCTTCCCGCTGGCAAGAGGTTAGGTGCCGTTTCGCTCATCTTTGTTTTCGTTTGGTAAATGAACATCGAACAACTTGTAGATAAAGAAGTACGTCACACTGCGATCACAATACGTGTAGTAATGCATCCGAGCCAGCTTGGATGTCGTTTAAGTAACCTCCGGCGTACCTCAGCGGGTGGTACATAGACCCTTGTCAGTTTTAATTTTTATTAATGGTGCACTTTTAAATGTTTTGTCAGCAATGAGATTATTCACTAACGATTGCGCCGTGTACCGCGAAATAACCTCTTCTGATGATGCTAAACAATTGCAGAATGATTTGGTTAAACTTCCTGAATGGTGCAAGAAATAGAACATACTCTAAACACGCAATCATCTGTTCACACGAACTCACACAAAAACTGTGCAGAGCATCACATATTACATCAAACAATCCTGTTTGGGTAGTGTTAAGAAGTTCCAATATTTAGGAATTCATCTAACAGGGTCCATGTGTTCACTCAATGACGTTCATCGCACCACGGGGAAGGCTTGCAAAATGTTGGGCTAAACTTTGGCGACAGAATACCAAGCTCTTTCCTCAGGAAGCTCACGATTTATTGCGCACAATTATGTACAGTCTATCCTAGAATATAGTTGTATGATTGGGGACCCTCCAACAAACATGAACAAAAACGAACTTGAGAATGTGCAAAGTCGTAGTGTATGATACGTTTCGAATAACTACGGCAGACAGCTTAGCATGACCGCTCCATGATTCGTGCCGGGTTATCATGGCACACATTGGCTCAGTTCCAGACCAGTGTGGCCCGCAGACGCCGAGTGTTAATCTCTGAATTTAGCAAAAGTGAAAGCATCACCTACAACGATCACCTGTGATCACACTTCTATATTGTGAGCGGTACAAGCCAATGACTCTTCATTCTCTTTACTTGTCGTCGACCCTTTTCAAAAAAGGGCGCCTCTAGCGCCATGTACGCGAACTACAGTCTGCCGCTATTGTGGGGGTGCCGCAGCAGAAGACACAGGCTGTGTGACCCAGTGACGCTGATGCGCGTTTCTTGCAATACACACAGACCCCTCTTGCGTTCCTGCAGGACCTTGACCTCGTCAGCAGGGCACGCCGATAAGAGTCTCTTGCAGGCCGGATCCATGCATTGCCAGTCATAACAAGCCAAACCGCTCGTACAACCCATTGAAGGGCACAAAACATAGCTTATTGTGCAGCGGAAGCAGCTCAGAAAGCTTATCAAGAGCTCGTTCAAGCTAGAAAGCGGTGCAATTGCAGTGGATGATATGGAGAACTAGCCGCCAACACAAACATCACGGCACTCACGCATTTGACGGATCGCTTTCCATGCCCTCCTAATGGCGCTAGAGCTACCCCGCGCTCCTTTGCGAAGTGAAACTGACGAAAAGCTCACCGTCAGGTGGCATATTTATGAAGAGGATCTCTACCCATTTGTCATCTGTACATATCACCCTTGTAATTTAGCTCAAGATTTGCTTAATAAACCGGGACCTCATATGTGGTGGACAGTGCTTATCGTTCCCCCACGTCCTCTCGCCCATTCTCGCTGGAGCTCCGCTGGGGTCGTCGCGTAACACCCACCTCTTGCCATGGTCACTAAACAAAAACCTGGCTTGTCCAACGCCTCCGTCTCGCAACAGCATTCGCCACCCACTCTGCTCACCTGCACCCGCCTGTGTTTTTCGGTCTCTGAGGTGAGGATTGTATAAGTAGTGTAGGACTGTAGTGTCCTTGTTAGTGACTTGAACAGGTGGGACAATCCTCACAAGTTGCACAGCGTCCAATTCTACTTGTCAGATGTCGCTAAAAATTTGTTCTGGAACCATCGACCTGATCTTCGCGACTGGGACCCTTTCGCACAGCAGCTTTGTTAAATATTCGGTGCCCCTACAGTTCGCGCTGAGGCCGGAAACAAGCTGCTCGCTGAACGCATCCAGCTACAGGGCGAATCTCATACATTGCAGATGTCCTTGCTTTGAGCAAGCATGCCAACTACACCATGTTCCCGAACGACCAAGTAGGCCACATTATTAAAGGCATCAACACCGTTGCCTTTAACGCCGTCGCCACGGATATTCCTACCGCCACACAGGACGTGATAACTATCTGTCACCGACTTGACGAGCTTTAGTCTCCTCACCATTGCCACGATGCCAACAACATTCCGCAGTTGGTCTTGACTCAGATAAACGCGTACTGCCTGACGATATAACTCAAGACACGGTGGATCGCTTTAACAAGTATTTTGCAGACGTCGGTCGTGCTTTGGCTGCTCAGTTTCCTGACACTACAGACCACACGCGTCCCATTAGACCAGTTTCTGATAGTTTTGGCATGTTTGAGATAGAAATGTCCCATATCATGTCAATAGTAAAAAAACTAGACGCCAATAAAGCGGCTGGGTTCAACGCTATTACAGTTAAATTAATAAAAAGTAACATAGCCATTCTGGCAGACCATTTGCTGCGCATGTTTCAACACTGGCAGGACTGTGGTATATACCCAAATGAGCTTAAGTTGGGCAAAGTCGTCCCTGTATACAAAGATGGAGACCGATAAAGTGCATCTAATTACAGACCAATATCTGTGTTAAGTGTAAATAATACAATTTTTGAAAAATTCTATCAGTGGAGATAACATCATTTGCATCCAAACATAATATAATTTGCTCAAACTAGCATGATTTTCGAGCACACAGATCTACATCTACTGCAGTTTTGGTATTAACAAGTTAACAAAGCCTTGAACAACAGTAAGATATTCGTCGTAGTTTTTTTAGACATAAGAAAAGCTTTCGATTCCGTCAACCACAACATCATGTTAAGTAAGCTTCATGGCTACGGTTTTCGAGGCAAAATTCACCAGCTTCTCAAATCATACCTATCCGACCGCCAGCAACGAGTAGTGATGAATAGCGTCGAGTCCTCTACTCAATCAATAGTCTCCGGGGTACCACAAGGCTCAGTTATTGGACCCACTCTTTTTTCCCTGTACGTTAACGGTTTTCCCTCCATCCTACTATATTCAGAAGCTTAAATGTACGCAGACGATACGGCACTAATCTTTGTTGGTGACAGCTCAAGAGACATCGAAGATAAAATTAACGAAGAGTTACAGAGAGTACAAGTATGGTTTAAATAACACCTCCTTAATATCAACACAGAGAAAACTAAATACATGGTCTTTCACTCTAGGAAAAAAGAACTCGACTTTGCAGGTTTCAACTTGGTTTTAGATACGGCACTGCTACAGCCAGTAGCCTCGTTTAAGTACTTAGGGGTCATGTTTGACTCGAACATGAACTGGAAATCGCATATAGAAAAGACATGCTCCAAGCTAGCATATGGGTGTCACACGCTACTAAAAGCCCGTGAATGTTTTGGCGCATCGATTTTGCGCATCCTATATTTTGCATTCATGCACAGTCACTTGAGCTACTGTATAGCGTTGTGGGGCAGTACATATAAAACTCATTTGAAATGTATTAGCCGCCTGCAAAAGAGGGCAGTCCGGATTATTACATACTCAAACAGGACGCATACTGCAAAACCACTGTTTCAAGTGATGCGTGTACTTCCGCTGGACTCTGTTCACGTGTCTAGTGTTGCTGATATAGTGCATGGAATAATAAAACGTGATGACCCATTGTCACAAAACGAGCGCTAAAAAGAGCGCGCCGCCAAATTCTTGCGACAACGGGCGAGAGAAACGCCGCGAGGTCAAAAGAAAAAAAAAACGTCCGAGGCTCCCCGGGCGCGCGCTCTCCCCGCGGAAGCGTGGCGTCGCAGACGAACCTCCTCACCCCGCATCGGCGGCCCAGCACGCCCGCGATTTTTCTAGAACGAACGGGGCGGGGTCATACCGAGTTGAATCATCCTCCGGGGAGGGCAGTCGAACCGTCTCGCACCTCTCCCCAGCCTTCGTTGCGTATCGCGCCGACGAAATGACGAGAAATTTCTGGAAGGTGGCCCGGAAGGTATTTAATTGAGCGGCCGAGACGAGAAGACAGGAGGAGACGGAAGTGAGCGCCAGAGCGCGTAGGGATTCCGCCGTGTAGTCGGCGAAGTTTTTGGTCCGTAGGGACGAAGCCGGAGATGAAGAGGATTTCCACCTGCTGGTGAAGGCTCGAGCTACAGGCAAGAGCGTGTGTTTACCGCTATTGAGCGAGGACGCGTGGCAACAGCTGCGTGTGTGAAGCCGACGTGGCTCCGGCGAAGAAGTTGAAGTTTGAAGAGTGGCCTATTGAAGACGGGAGTTTTCCTGGAAGAGAAACTCCGGCGAGGTTTCCTGGAAGAGAAACTTCGAGGGCTGCGGAACGACAACAACACTGGACTTTGAGTGAGTGATTCTCGGAAGAGTATCATCTAGACTTTGGTTCCAAGAACTTTGGACTGAATAGGTTTTCTACCTCTCTAGTCTTCAAGTGTCTTGGTTGTTCAATGCATGCGACTGCATTGTAGTGCGTATTGTTGTCCGTGTCCGTTGTTTCAAGTGTGGCTGATTGTATTGTGTAGTACGTTGATTGATTGGTTTGATTGGTGACATATTGTATGCAACTATTGTGGAGTGTGCATTTTTGTGTATTGTTTCTGATCTGCCATTATTGAGAATATAATTTGTTTGTTTATCAACTCTCGGCTCTGACTTGTTCTTTGGGCCACAGCCGGCGTCCGCTGGCGCGCCAAAAAGGACCACTTCTAAATTGTCCACGCTTTCGTGGTGCGGTTCGGGGGGCCGATACATCGGCTCTTGGAATTAGCCCGGCGATTGCCTCCCTAATTAACGGGACCGGTGTGTGACACCCATTCCCATTAAGCACCTTTACGTTACCCGCGCGCTGTACAAGAGCTGCAGCGAATCACCGTTTTAATTTACCAGTACCCAGAAATGCCTACGGTCGAAGGCTCATAGAATTTCACGGCGCTCTCATATGGAATGCGATACCGACTGATGTGAAAGAGGCTAAAAATTTTCCATTGGCCATGA